TCCAGCCTTGATGATTCTATGATTTTTCCAAGCACTTTGGTAGTACTTGGCTGGGCATGAATTTGCTCTCCCATGTAAAAGCCACACTGCTCCTCCCCTGAGCAGTTTTCCTTTAACACCTTACTCATTCCAGCATGGCTTTGTGGGCAGAGATACTGGCATGGGAGATTGTCTTTCCTCTGCAGAGGGCAAGCAAAATAAACCCTCCCAGCCAGCTCTGGGCTCTGTTTATTTCTGCTGAGGCTAAATAGAAGCCAAGGGAAGATAACGCACGTTCCTTGTGAGGAGCCTAATTTTGGCCTTTTCTCCTGGGGATTGCAGGGTGGAAAATATTCCCTAACAAAAGGAGGGTTTGTGCAAACAGAGAGAAGGAATGAGAAAGGCTCTTTGCCTCTCCCCACGGTGTCTGCCAAGGGGCAGAGTGGGTGACCACAGAGGGAACCTTCAGCTCTGCTGACAGGCAAGTGGAGGGCAGTGCTGGCTGCTGGTAACTGCAGAGGTTATTTTAGGAAGAAATTTGGGAAAATATGCCTGAAAATACCCAAATCCATGCAGGGGAAAAGTTGCCCATCTGCTGCCTTTGAAACCCTGAGCAGCCTGTGGTACATGAGTCACCCAGTGCTCACAAGGGAGCAAGTCAGCTTGAGGGACAGGGAGGTCACAGCCTGTCCCAGCATGACCCTGTGCTGGTGCTACAGGTAGAGCCAAACATTTTGGGGTTAGCCACAACTCCCAGCATCAACACCCCCAGGTGATGACAGTGGGCAAATGGAGAGACTGAAACTGGTAAGTTGGACCCATGGTTAAGCCTGGAAACACCTTGATCTCTTCACATCTCACATCCCCAGGGGCAAAGTGGAGATGGAGACATCTATCTCCTCCTGAGGGGAGAGACCTGGCAGGGACAACTTTGCATGTTCTGCTTGTACATCACCAGCCCGACCGGACCCACATCTTGTCAGGGGGTTGGAGATGCCCTAGGAGTAATATGAGCCCCGGGACTTACAGAGAACTGAAATCTGCCCTTAGTTATTTCTTGGAAGCTCTTAGTTACTCTCTAAATACCTCACAGATATTGCCCTGCTGGGAAATGTGTCCAGAACCCACCAGAGGAGTGAGGGCTGAGCTTATGCAAGAGAGACAGTCTTCAGTAAAACTAAACACAGAAAGGAGATTTCTGGTTCCAGGATTGTGTCAACAGTGTGAAGACACAGAAATTCAGTTATATTCTTCTTAGAAGAAAAGTTGCAACAAGCATAAAGGTTTTCAGCTTCTTTGTAAAAGCTGTCTCTACCTCAGAGCTTTTGTATCATCAAGACTGAAGTGTTTGAGCACCTCTGTGTGTCAGTGCTGTATGGAAACATGATTCCTGCTTGAGAGGGAAACAACAGCCCCAAGTTCATCCCCATGTGTGAGGAACCTGCAGGAAGGAGCTGTACACCCAGCTCTGCTGCCTCCTGAGCACCTACAGCACTTCACACCCTCTGCAGTGGGTCACAGCCCCAAAAACCACACACTCACAGAATGGTTTGGGTTGGAAAGAAGCTCAAAGATTATCTAATTCCAGCCCCTTGCCATGGGCAGGGACAGCAGTGAAGAAGAGGTGCAGGAAGGCACAAGGAATGGCCCATAGCAAGGAGAAATTGGGCTGACCACAACGTTTTGCTTTGCTTGGCTAACTGTTTGCTCTTGGTCTAAGCACTCCATATGCAAAACAAGAAGAACAGAAGAGATACAGAGTCAAAGAGCACAAAAACAGCCTGCACAGAGCCTGGGAAGAGCTGTGTTTACCTTCTGCAAACCACAGGTAGCAGTAAAATTAGTAATCAGCAATTAACAGCTATTTGTCAATGGTTTCCTGGAAGGAATAACTGTGCTCCCCCCTCCCCTTCCTGCCCCCAGCACAACTCTGCTGACTGCACACAGGGGCAGCAGGACAGCACAAGGGATATTCCAGGAAAGTAAACAGCTCTGCACAAAAAGGAGCTGGAAAAAGAGCCTAGATGTGCTGCTGCTCCTGCTTGTGGCTCGGGTGAAGGTGTTCAGCTCTTCACCTGCTCTAGAGAAACCATCCCAGTGGTGCTTGGGCATTCAGCCACTGGAAATCAACACCCAAAATCCATGTGCGTGTCTACAATCCATGGAAAATAATGCCCTTGGATGACATCATGCAGGGACTGGCAGAGATGGGTTTTCCTCCCCCCAAAAATGCCATTTTTGGGACATGATAAACCTTTTCTGGGACATGAAACAAAGCAAAGCAACTTCCAATCAGCACTGGGAAAAGAGGGTGGGATTTTGGCAGCATTGCCGTACCCAGTTCTAACACAGGAAGTAGTAAAATTCACAACAGGAGCTGAACAAGCTGAGGAAAAATGCTCTGGAAAATCCCACCATGGATTCCAGGCAGGCAGAGTGTCCCTACCCACCCTGGAGTCCTGCACAAACACTTTGCCTCTTTCAAGCACTGCCAGGATCTGCATTGACCACTGCCAGTTGGGATGCCCATTTGGAATCCTACTGGAAAGTTGGGCTTGGAAGGATGTTTTTGCTGGGATCAAAGCCCAAGGTGAACACCTCATTGCTCCATGGAAAGCCCCCAGAGTCAGGCTGGCCAGGATGGTGTGAGCCACTCACCCTGTAGGTTCCAGGACTCACCTTTCTGCAACATCTCCAGATGTTCCCAAAGGATATCTCCCACAAAGTCAGGGGCTAGCTCCAGGAAGCATTCCTTGCCCAGGGCACAGAGGGCAGCTCCATTCATGCAGAACTTCTGGAAATCCACTTCCTTCAGGCTAAACTCGTTCACTGCCCACATCACCCAGTCCCGCACGTGTGTCTCTGTCCACTGCTGGGGGTCTGTGGGGGAGAAGGGAGTCAGGAGTGAGCTACCACGAGCACTTGGCCCAGGAAAACAGAGCACAAACAGAATCACAGAGTCAGTGAGGTTGGAAGGGACTACAGTGGGGCATCTGGTCCCACCTCCCTGCTCCAGCAGGGCCAGCCCAGAGCACATGGCTCAGGGTTGTGTCCAGGCGGGTCTGGAATATCTCCAGTGAGGAGAATCCATAACCTCTCTGAGCAATCTGTTCAGTGCTCAGGGACTGCACAGGAAAGAAGTTCTTCCTTGTATTCAGGTGGAACTTCCTGGGCATCAGTTTCTGCTGTTGCCTCTTGTTTTATTGGCTTATAGCACTGAGCAGAGTCTGATCCATCCTCTTGGCACCTCCTGTTCTTGTACTTGAATACATTGCTGTGGCTCCTCTCAGTCATCTGTTCTCAATGCTGAACAGTCCCAACTCCCTCAGCCTTTCCTTATCACTGAGGAGCTTCAGGCCCTTCAGCATCTTCCCTGCTCTCCCCTGGACCTGCTCTAGGAGCTCCATGTCTCTCCTGTCATGAGGAGCCCAGAACTGGACACAATACTACAGGTGTCCCATCTTGAGAAGTGACAACGGAGAGGGACGTCATTAATGTATTCAAGTGCTACAGCTGCACTGCATTAGCACAGCCTCATCCCATGGATACTGGGATGTCTACAGTTGGACTGGATGATCTTAAAGGTCTCTTCCAACCCTGATGACTCTCTGAATCTACTGGCAGCCTGCTGGGAGAGTGGGGAGGGAACACCATGCCCATAGTTTGGATCAGCCCTATTGCAAATATATTTCATACAAGGAATGAGCTTGGGATTTGTTTGGGACTCTACAAAATCCCATCAGTTCTCTGACCCCTTCTCCCACCCATTTCATCCCCTTCTCCCACCCATTTCTCCATTTCTCTTGGTGTCTCCATATCATCAGCTTCTGCTGCTTCTCCACAGAGTGGAGATGACCTGCAAGTAGGAGCAGGTGCCCAAAGCTGCAGGACAGTCATCCAGCAGGAGTCAGCAGGACACACAGAGACAGGTTGCAAGTGGTACTCAAATATTTTCCCTCTATGCCCACATTTTTCCAGCTGAAGCTTCCAAGAAACAAGGCAATACTGCCTGAAGAGAGTCCAGGAGATGACAGAGGTGGAGAAGGGCAACCTGGCAGGACACAATCCCTATGGATACCAGGGATGCTCACTGGGAAAACCATGTCTTACCTTTGGGGATTCCCAGTCGCTGCTGCTCCTTGGCGAAGCCGCTGAACGTGGCCTTCAGTGCCTGAGACATCATTTCCTTGCTGCTGGGAGTTAGTAAAGGCACATCTGCACATTCCATGTCTGAAAGGAAGAGAGAAAAACAGTCATAAGGATGCAGGGCTGGGAAAGATGACAGGAGTCCTGTTGGCCAGGTGACATGCTGCACATGGTCTCCCTATGCTACTGGAAGGTGCTGCTGGAAGTTGGATGATGACACCCAAGACCTTTCCAGACATGAACCTGCTGGGCTGCATCAGTGGGGTCTGAAGGTCTGGAGCCTGGGACATGCCTCAGCAGCTCCAGACACCAAGTAAGGCAAAGAATCCCCAACCAGGGTGAGCAAGAAAGGAGAAAAGCATCCCTGAATTACTGCTCCATCAACCTGGTCCAAAGAAAAGCAAGGAAAAAATAAAGTAGTCTAGAAAATTCTTTATCCTAGAAAATTCTTCCCTGTGAAGGTAGTGAAGCACTGGCACAGGTTGCCCAGAGAAGGTTTGGCTGCCCCATCCCTGGAAGTGTTCCAAGCCAGGATGGACAGGGCCTGGAGCAACCTGGGCTGGTGGAAGGTGTCATAGTTTCATAGTATCATAGAACGTTAAGGGGTTGAAATGGAGCTTAGAGGTCATCCAGCCCCAACCCCTGCCCTGGGCAGAGACACCTCCCACCAGAGCAGGTTGCTCAAGGCTTTAGCCAACCTGGCTGTGAACACTGCCAGGGTTGGGGCAGCCACAGCCTCCCTGGGCAACCTGGGACAGTGTCTCACCACCCTCACAGGGAAAGCTTCTTCCTAATATCGAATCTCAATTTCCCCTTTGGGAGAAATTCCCTATTACTCTTTGTCTTTTCCCTGCAGTTCCTAACCAAGAGTCTCTCTGCAGCTTCCCTGGAGCCCCTTCAGCTCCTGGCAGGTTGCTCTTCACACAACCTTCTCTTCTCCAGGCTGAACAGCCCCAACTTTCTATCCCTGTCCATGGCAGGAGGTGGAACAAGATGAGCTTTGAGGTCACTTCCAACTCAAACCAGCCTGGGATTCTGGGATTCTCTGAGGCAGGATGGAGAAGGAGCAAGAAAAGCCATTGGAGGAGGGAGGGGAAACAAAGAGCTGGAAAATCCCACATTAACAGGGAGTTACATCATGCCCAGCCCAGAGCTCAGAGCTACGCAGCTCAGTGAGTCATGGCCAGCACAGACATCCCTTGGGACAGCACAGGGCCAAGCCCAGAGCCAGCCCTGGAGTAAGTCCTGATGAGAAGCAAACATCTTCCTTGCCTTTTTTTATCCCTTTTTCCAATGTATTTGGAAGGAGAAGGAGATTTGTAGCCAAAGAGATTCCTAAACAAAAGCCACCATTTGAGAGAAAAATCTGAATAAAGGTTTGGCTCTTTTTCCTCTGTTTTAAGTATTCCTGAAAAACAGCTCTGATGGAGAAGCAAAGCCTTCTACAATCTCCATCTCAGAAACTGAACTTCATCTTCAGCCTCATGTGGAAATCTTCCACCTCAGGTTAGTTTAGCTCTGAAGCCCAGTGGAAATTTTTCCATGAAAACTGTTCTCAGTGGAAAAATGACAACATTGGGCAAAGTCTTTGGTGCTTTCATGAGATGTAGACATCAAAAAAGAAAGGATTCTCTGTGCTGTGGCAATGCCATCCACCACAGCTTTCCACTGCGCCAAGGTCAGCTCAACTCTGCTTTAACAAGCCATTGCACCTGTAAAATGCAGCTGAGGGCTTGATTGAGGCCCTGTTGAGTGCATGAAACATGGAATCAGGGATGGAGATGAAACTGGAGCCCCAGGGCATGGGCAGCCCAACACTGCTTCCCACTCTGGGCTTCCTACTCTACAGGCAAACTCATGGGCATCATTTGAAGTCCAACCAACACCAACCCAACCGCTGTCGGGTTTTTTCCACGTGGGAATCTGAGGGTTGGATCAATAGAATTACAAGGCAGTGGTGGAGTCACCATCCTTGGAAGTGTAGATGTGTAGACACTTGGGGACATGAGTTAGTGGTGGACCTGGCAGTGCTGGGATAATGATTGGACTCAAGGACCTTGAAGAGCTTTTCCAACCTAAATGATTCTATGATTCTGTGATTCCATGAAGAAACATCCATGTGCAGTTCCGTAGCACAGGGTGGGGGTGAGCACACACTGCAAAATCAGCCTCAAATCATCCTCTGGATGCACCAACCACAACACTACTGCAAAGACAAACAGAGCAACTTCTCTGCCTCCATTTCTGCCCCTTCCACTGATCATCCCCAATCAAAAGCCATGGAAAAATCACCTTTCCTATCTGCATCTCCTCCAACCTTAGTCACCAAGGCACTCCAGGAATGATCTGCACAACTCTTTGCTCAGGCAGGACTAGGAAATCTCCTGACACTGAGTCTCAGGGACACAATTCCTGCCCTAAACTAGCACATAAATCCAGGCCTGCCTGCCTGCCACAGTGGCACTCTCAGGACCTTCAAAAGCAAATAATACATCCAAGGGCTATTTGGCAAATGACACTTCATTATTTCCTGGCTTTGGCTGGAAAGGGCATGGAAACTGTGCAGCCACCCTGGTTATCTCTGCTCTCATCTGCTGCCTGCAGATAACACTGAGAGAAAGTGCTTCAGTGCCCCTTTCCCTTCAGCCTCATGTTACATCTTAATGCTTTGCTTGCTGTGTGCTCTGTGGTTCAGGGACCACCCAGGAATCCTCTCCCCTCCAGGCCTGGTGGAACAGCAGCTCACAGCTCCCGGCAGAGCTCGGCTGAGAAAACCTTCCTAACCCAAATTTTCACACTGAATCACTCAGAAAACCTGTGTGGGGGTGACCTCCTTAGGCAAGGAGCCAAGAGCAGCAGGGCAGGGTGAAAAACTCTATTTTCTCTCTGCAACCCAAGTGAGTATCCATCGCTGACCCTCTGTTTGCTCCTGCAGGACTTGAGGAGTTGGTGAACAACTCTGTTTTCTCTCTGCAACAAAAGTGAGTATCTATCCCTGATCTCCTGTTCACTCCTGTAAGATTCTTGGGGTTGGTTTGGTGAACAACTCTATTTTCTCTCTGTAATACAAGTGAGTATCCATCCCTGTTTTCTCCCTGCATCCTGTTTGCTCCTGCAGGACCCATGGGGATGGTTTGGTGAAACACTCTATTTGTCTCTCTGCAATCCAAGTAAATATCCATTCCTGACCCTCTGTTTGCTCCTGCAGAATCTGTGGGGTTGGTTTGGTGACAACTTGTGGTTTTTTTCCTCTGCAATCCAAGTGAGCATCCATCCTTGACCCCCTGTTTGCTCCTGTAGGGCTCATGGGCTTGGTTTGGTGCACAACTGTATTATTCTCTCTGCAGTACAAGTGAATGTCTATCCCTGACCCCCTGTTTGCTCCTCCAGGACTTGGGGGGTTTGGTGAACAACTGTATTTTCCCTCTGTAATCCAAGTGAGAATCCATCCCTGGCCCCCTGTTTGCTCCTGCAGGACTCATGGGCTTGGTTTGCACATACCCAGCGAATCAATTTTTCAGTAGCAGAGGGATAAGGTTTCGGTTTAGTAAGGTGAACACTGAGCTCTGCACAAACAACATGTCAAAACAGGGAAGACTTAAAAGTGCTTCCCAGGGAGAGGTCACCAGAGAGGCAAACAGTCCCTTTTCCAGTAAAAAAAAAAAAACAACCCCATGCCAGAGGAGAGTTTCTATTTAAACACCAAAATCAACCCAAATGTGCATTTCAAGGCTTCTCCTGCAAAATATGTCAGACTCAGCACATTTAGGGTTGAAACATCACTTGTTTTTTTCCTGTTAGATCATAGCTACTTGTTCAAATTGCTTCAGAGGACAAAGCAGCCCCAAAGCCCCAAGGCTGCAAATGCTCACAGAGGTTTTAGTCAGCAGTGTCCCCACAGCTGAGTAAAGCTCAACATGTACAACTGAACGTGTGTGTGAAGCTCTGCAGAGGTGTCTGTGGACAAAGTTGTGCTGTGGGGTCTGAGAGAGATGGGGAATGGACAGTTTTTAATCTAAATGGTTTCATCTGCTGGTTTCATGATAGTGAATTTACTTAAATCTCATTTTCTTGCTTAATCCCTGAGTGTGGGATTCACCCAGCTCTGCCAGAGCTGATTTGGGGTGTCCTGTGCAGGGCCAGGAGTTAGACTTGATGATCCTTATGGGTCCCTTCCAGTTTGGGATATTCCGTAATTCTCTAAGTCTATAGAATTTAGACACTGGAATGTGCTACCCAAGGAGGTGGTGGAGTCACCAGCCCTGGAGGTGTGTAAGGACAGACTGGATGTGGCACTTTGTGCTCTGGTCTAGCTGACATGGTGGTGCTAGGTTTGATGATCTCAGAGGCCTTTTCCAACCTTAATTGTGATTTCATGATCATGTGATTATGAAATTTGCTGAGTGCAGGAGTATTCCTTCCCAGAGAGGACAATCCAGTCCTGGTCATGTCCTCCAGCCCTTCACCATCACTTAGGGATCCTAAAGGTCAGATCCAAGCAGAATTTTGGGAACAAAAGCAACTACCCAGGGTCAACTCTCCTGATTTCAGCTTTCACTGCCATTTGAAAGCTCTTTCCAAGATTTGAATCCAATCTTGCACAAATCAAATGTCTCCCCTTGTGTCCCTCCTGCTGCCCACAAAGACACACACAACACACACATGGATGTACACACATCAAGCCCAGTGTGCCACCTAAGCTCAGCTTAGAGATTGCAAGGTTTAACCCAAAAGCAAGCCCAGCAGCAGGGCCAGGAGGCCACAGACTGGGGTCACTGGATGGTTTTATGACACCCACCACCACTGCCACATGCACTTGGCTGCCTGGATGTCACGTCCTCCTGAGCCACTGCACTGAGGGAATTGGGTTTGATTTTCCTCCTGGAGACCAGGCAGGGTCTTAAGGGTTGATTTTTTAAGTCATAATAGGTGTTGCAGTCACTCTGGAAAACTCTGTCACCAACATCTCCAATATTAGAGCAGAGCTAAGTGATTTGCCTCGCACGGAGCAGAGAACAGCTCAAAGAGAGATTTGAGGCCTCAGTGCCTTCACCAAACCAACTCCCTGACACCCCTGGGGATGG